ATTGAATTTCGCTGTCAACATTGTGCTGTAGCTGTTACTTTGTATCTATAGCCACTAGCCAGTATAGGCTAGGCCTAGCACAAATAACTTGAACATATTAATTATGAAGGCTTTGTTGAGATTGTCTCTTTTTTCTTGATGAACACATTAGAAAGATTTAGATTTATGCTAGTTAAATTTTATATTACATTAGCACTTTAGACCACTAAATCTAAAAGTTTAATGAGTTAATGATTATGTATACATTTTTCTGTCTCATTTTAGTTTTCTGACACGACTACTGTCACTTCAGATGTAATATGGTTTAGATGCAAATGTGTTGCCAGCCAGAAAAGTAAAAAATATGATGTCTACTGTGCTGTTCATCAACAGACAGGAAAATGTTTGAAGGGCAAATGTGCGTGTCCACAAGGGTAAATATATTTTCTGTTACTTCCGTATGGCCATATTTGTTTGAAGGGAATGTGTATATAGAACATTAAGGACTAATGGAATAGAATAAAAAAAAGATGTCTATAGACTATTAAATTTAGACAGGGTGATAGTAGAATTTTGTTTGCTAAACTGATATTAAAATGTATGACAGTTCATTGTGATGACCATTATACATCTTTTACTTTCAGTGTTTTAGGAAACTGCAGCCATGTAGCTGGATTACTTTTGGCTTTAGAGTTTATCAACCGTACAAAAGCTCAGGTACGAGTATTTAAACATTTCTAAACTTCGAATTATATAGAAACCGATTGGGGAAGTAACTACAAGTTCAATTTCAGGCATAGTTACTTTAAATAGAAAGGTAATCAGCAACTCAGTCAAAATCATTATCATCAGATCTGCTTTTGCTGTTCGAAGGATTTGAAGTTGAAAGTTTGCTTGAAATAGGTCAGAGTTGTGTTTTCTATTTCAGAATCCAGGCGACATCTCATGTACTTCCAGGCTTTGTCAGTGGCGGAAACCAAAGCCTTTGTCAGAGATAGTCATATACAAACCGGCATATGGAAAAGGTATGATTAAGCTTTTGAAGATTTTCTCTTAGTTTGAAACCAAAAGTTTGTAGTCAATATGTTCAATTGAAAATAAGATTTATAAAAATCTCAGAACATAATTTTTGTTCTTTATTGTTGTTAAACATTATTTATTTAAGGATATATTTTGTCAGCATTTTTATGGAGATAAGTGGATTAACTTAGTGCAACTCCACTAAACAGTACAAAATCTAGTTTTTGTTATCTGTTTGAGACTAATTTGTAATCATTTTCAGCTCCCCAGAAACCAAAAGAACGGGGCTATGACCTCCGCCATCCTGATGACAGAGTTCCCGATTTAGCTAAAGTCCAAGCCCAGGTTAAGGAATTGATGCAACTCTATCCTAACACTGGACTACAGCAAATGTGGGATATTCCTGTTGAGGTACCAGAAGTTGAATTTGAAGTTATTCTTGAAACTTCTGAAATGGACAAAATGGCAGAAGCCCTTATTGTAATGCCAGCCCGTAAGTACTTTAATTGGTTGTTGGTATTTTTTCCCAGTCATCCGCTACAAGTCATGATCTCTTCCACAAAGTTTCCCTTCCTTCAGCATTAAACTTGTCCATGAATATACATATTGTTATACCTCTATGACAGAAGAATAACCTATGGAATTAAAAATGTGGACATGATTTTTATTTAGTTTTTATAAGATTTATCAATTGAAATTTTTCGATAATCAATAGATCTCAATTTGGTAATTGATATGCAACCCTAAGTATTATAGTTTACAGTGTGACTTTATAAATACCGTTTAATTTATTTACAGATCATCCTAGACTTTCAGATGTTTCAGATGTAGAATCCTTCATTGATGACCAGAAAATATCGAAGGAGCTGTCGATATATATTGAGTCTTGTACTAGAGGACATAGCATATCACCACTGTGGAGAAAATTTTTGCAACCCGTGAAAAATGTGAGAACAAGTCACTGATCAGCAGAATTATGGAATACAAAACAATGGACAGGTAGGACAAACATTTTTTTTAATGTAAAGATCGATTATACGAAAATATCCTCATGTTAAAAACACCTGCACCTGATTGGGCTGATGAAGAAGAGCGATCCATGCAGAGTGCAATGAGGGAAATTTTGCCAGGACACCCTAGTCCAATCTTTTTTATTTCCATGTATCAAGGGATCTTTAATATGCACAGCCTGTCCCATTTGACACTTTTTCCTGAGCCACTGTGGCTTCTTCACATTTAAAAGAAGTGTTTGAATTATTTTCTCTTCGTATGTCAGAGGTACTTTAGTACACATGTATTAAGGCAGTTGATTAAGCATTGCTTTTTGTTTTGTGTGTTCATAGGTTGCCATGGACTGTTAGGTGGGGCAGAGAACACGAAAGTGCTGGAGTCAAAGCATATGAACATCGGGGGACAAGACATTCGAGGACTCCATTGGAAAGATGTAGCATCCATAAAGGACTTTTGTGTGACAATCCATGACAATGGGGTCTTACCCCTGAAAAGGAATTCAACTTATTTTTCCCAAGTACAAGGGGAGATGGCCATCATGTCAGTCCCTCGGACAGATTTTGTTCTATGGAACCCAGTGGATTTAATGGTAGAAAGGATTTACTTTGATGTTAATTTCTGGAAAAATGAATTGTTCCCAAAACTTCAGGCCTTCTATAAAACTAAAGTAGTCCCAGAAATTTTGGGTGGAAAATTTGGACTTAGAACATAGATCAGATGCTTTTTATACGCCCACATGGAAATGTGGACGTATATTGCCTTCCCCCCTGTCCGTTGGTCCGTCAACATTTCTTGTTAACACAATAGAGACTAGTTTTCAACTGGTTTTAATGGAATTTGGTGTGATCATTTACATTGATGAGATCTTGGTCAAATTCGAATTTGACGATCTTTCGATGAACTGTTTTTGAGTTATTGCCCTTGACTTAGGAAAAACGCGTCACAATTTGTTTTTGAACACATTAGAGACTACAGTTTCAATTGATTTTAATGAAACA